GATAAATTAGCCCTTTGGGTGGCATATTCAAAAGTTGTATTGAAAAAATCGTCTGAGCGTGAATACGGAAATGTTCAACCAACACCCGAGTGACATTTTTTAATTTTTTCATTTATGTACTTTAACGTGGTAAAATCATCTCATTATTTTAGTTGTGCAGACTGAGAGAATGTTGCTCAATTCATTGATCATTAAGTGTTTCGTTCAATTGGAACTTATCCAAATGATCGACAATGTCGTCTTTTTCCCAAGCACCAGCAAGCGAGAAGATGAAGATACTATGGCTGAATTATAGGCCAGTTGTAATTACGGTCATTGTAGGTAATACTGAGATAAATTGCTTTGTCGTAATGTTGTTATACCAGAGTTTCCCTTGGTGGCATAACAAAGTTCTTTGCTGAAATACAGAATAAGGAGCTTTAGCAAAGACTACGAGTTCCATTTACGTCATTTTGGAGCGAAAACATTGTAGCGACAACAAAAACACGTAGCCGTCATCAATCTGAGTACGATGTTTTTTAAAAAATTCGTAGTCGCGACTACAATGTCTTTTTAAGCAAAGAAAGTTGGTATATTTCTTCATTCTGTAAGAAATTAGTTTACAGTACTATTTTCGAGCATCGAGGATTTAATTTAGAACATTTTTTGAGCGCAGATGTACATTTAAAAGGAAAATATGACCTTGAAAACTTTTATGTATTTCGTAGGCAAAGTGAACGGTAAACAAACAATAAAATAGCATAAATATATGGTACATAAAACTTAAAATAGTGAAGATTTTTCAGTCTAAAGAGTCCTATAATCTCGCAAACTCAATATTACCAATTCGTTGATATCATTATTGACAAATAGAGCCGTAGCTGCTTCGCAAACTTCGGTGTTTTACACAATAAAAAGGCTCGTTCTGTTGTTTATTATTAAAACAAAATTTTGACAAAGCGACAACGACAACAAACTTCCTCGTGCCATACCCTTACACGGTCAAACTTCGTACTCGTTGTCGTCGTACTCTTGCTAAAGCTCCCTAGTATGTAATATACAGAAAGGACACTTGGCATCTTTAGTTGTTAGGAATAAATTTAATCAATGAAAAAGTTTGTCTAACAAAATGTGCCAGGATTATTACCATTGTACTTGACTGTATACAAGTAAGTTGTTTTTGTTTGATGTGTTAGGACACTTGGAGTCTTTAGTTGTAAAAAATAGATTTAATCTCAGAAACATTGTCATTGCGTTGTCTCTAAGCCATTACAATTGGATAGCACAAAATAAAATTGCTACAGAGCATTTTTTGTCAGTTTCCTCCTAAATTCCTCCCATAATAAGCTAGAGGATCCATACTTCAAAAAATTTGTCATTATTGCTATCCTTATCTATCCACAGTACTTACTCATATCCAATCCTCCAAGTTCCCATGTGTCTTTTAACCAAAATCCTTTATCCCTCCATATGTCTATGTAGGTGATGTATTCATCTTATATAAAGTTCTAAATTTCATATTCTTTGTTCTTAGAAACTCATTGCTTATGGTCATATTGTTGGTGATACGCCAGACTCCATTGAACTAGAGAGGCGTTTAATTGACAGAATTATCGAGACTATTTGTATTTGCTTTACCGGTATAAATACTGATGTAAACGTTCAAATACAAATTATAAAGATATTTATAAAAGTAATGTCAACATGTTATAGTATTTAATGAGGGAAATGATATATCCTTGAGGAACTTAAAGAGGGTACTGACATATGTATCCCTATGTTTTTTACATTTTTTGTCTTATTTTTTACTATTTTTAAAATTACGTCACCTACACCAGATAGAACATAAAGTTCACAAAAAATATTCTCGTACTATATTGAACTTGCAGGAACGATGTCTCTTTCAAGGGAAACAGCTATTTGTTATATAAATATAAGAAAAAATATGCTAGGAAGACAATTTGATCTTTTATAAAAACAGGACATTAATTTAATTTTCAAAGCTTTTATCAAACTTTCTATTTTATGAAGTTATTATAAATTACTTGCAAAAATCATCACAGAAAAGAGTATCCAACCATGTATCAAAACCGTATGAGGTACATACCCATATTTTTCAAGGAGTTTAATGAAGTTAATCATTTATTGAATCTAAAAGTTTTGTCAAATTTTGGCAGATTCTTTACAATACGACAATAAGAAATTGAAGGTCTGTTATGCCGATCGGTGCTTAGTACCTATTACATCAATAAATCTCTTGATCTTTGACCCTGGAATTTCGGAAAAACAGTTTGGCGGTTTCCATTTGGACAAATTTTGGTTTTTATTCTCGTCAAATTTTTTTTAAATTTTATACTGGATTCTGTTGCACGAAGCGTGGATAGCGTTATCCATTGGATAGTAGTTTTTTAAATTTATACTGGAGCCTGTTGCATGAAGCGTGGATAGCGTTATCCATTGGATAGTAGTTTTTTAAATTTATACTGGGGCCTGTTGCACGAAGCGTGGATAGCGTTATCCATTGGATAGTAGTTTTTTAAATTTATACTGGAGTCTGTTGCACGAAGCGTGGATAGCGTTATCCATTGGATAGTAGTTTTTTAAATTTATACTGTAGTCTGTTGCATGAAGCGTGGATAGCGTTATCCATTGGATAGTAGTTTTTTAAATTTATACTGGAGCCTGTTGCATGAAGCGTGGATAGCGTTATCCATTGGATAGTAGTTTTTTAAATTTATACTGGAGCCTGTTGCACGAAGCGTGGATAGCGTTATCCATTGGATAGTAGTTTTTAAATTTATACTGTAGTCTGTTGCACGAAGCGTGGATAGCGTTATCCATTGGATAGTAGTTTTTTAAATTTATACTGGAGCCTGTTGCATGAAGCGTGGATAGCGTTATCCATTGGATAGTAGTTTTTAAATTTATACTGGGGCCTGTTGCATGAAGCGTGGATAGCGTTATCCATTGGATAGTAGTTTTTAAATTTATACTGGAGTCTGTGCACGAAGCGTGGATAGCGTTATCCATTGGATAGTAGTTTTTTAAATTTATACTGTAGTCTGTTGCACGAAGCGTGGATAGCGTTATCCATTGGATAGTAGTTTTTTAAATTTATACTGGGGCCTGTTGCATGAAGCGTGGATAGTGTTATCCATTGGATAGTAGTTTTTTAAATTTATACTGTAGTCTGTTGCATGAAGCGTGGATAGCGTTATCCATTGGATAGTAGTTTTTTAAATTTATACTGTAGTCTGTTGCACGAAGCGTGGATATCGTTATCCATTGGATAGTAGTTTTTTAAATTTGTGAATGTGCATGGCTATATTTTGTTTATGATGATGAAACTTTGTAATTCTAGAACCAATATTGTATTTCATTTATTGTCCAGTTCGAATCGTTGATTTTTCCTTTTTAAGATATTTTTGAAGCGCTCAAAATCGTTGCTACTCAGTTTAATGGATAGCGTTATTCAGCCTTCGTGTAACTGATCTCTTCTCCGGTACTTTATTGGTAAAGTCTCTGCAAAAATATAAATCTGGTGAGAACCATATATGGACAATGAACATGATTATTGTCTACTTTTCAGCTGTATCTAGTTACAAGCTGTGAATCAGAATGATCTCGTGATGAGCCCATCCTTTTATTTGAATGATGTGTACACTACAATACGATTAAAGGCAAAATTGAAGAAATATTTCAATATAAAACTGTGACTCTACGTTGTGGAACGAAATAATAAGTGCGGAAATGAAGAAATAGTCGCTTTTGTCATATTTGGTGAGTAAAATTGTGTAAAACATTGATTTTAAAGCCGTATTGTTTAGCTACTCGTTTTGTATGAAAGGTTTGACTAAATGGCAGAATACTCGTTCTCTTGCATTCATTGACTGTGCATCTACATTTTCAGTAGATACACAGATGATATTATGCCGTATATAAGACGATTCTAACTTCTGAGAAAAGAAAAATCAACGTGAAACAAAACTATAAGATAAATAGCGCTACACCTATTGGACAATACGATAATATATATTTATGCTTAGTATATCAAATTGCGTTTCAAAATATAAACACAAATGATTTGTTTACCTATCAAAACGACTATATTTTATTATTTAAATCAACCACGAACGATTTGCACAATTATACATTACCACATTGATAGGTAATTATAGATTTATAGTGCCATTGTCGCACAACCTAACGTTCTGTTGTGCGGGATGCTAAATCACGATTCTGTTTTCCCAAATTTTATGAGCACAAAATTGTTAAAGCCACAAAGAATCCGACATAATTTATGTAGTTTTTTCATGATCCTTTAATTTGTTTGAAAATGACTGACTCTAGTAGTACCAACTATTGTCTGTCTATAGTTGCTGATCTTTGGTTTGGAAACTCAAACTTTGACTAAAAAGTTTGGATCGATATTTGGATACATTTTGGCCTATTTACTATTCTAATAACTTTTCGGAATCAAATTGGTAAAAAACATAAATCTGGTGAGAACCATATGTGGACAATGAACATGATCGTTAACTACTTTTCAGCTGTATTCAGTTACAAGGAAGTGAATAAGAATGATCTTGTGAAGAGCTCATCCTTTACATTTGAATACACAGTCTCCACTACAATACAATTAAAGACAAAAATGAAGAAATATTTCATTACAAAACTGTGAATTTACGTTGTGTAACGAAGAAATGAATGTTGAAATGTAGAAATAGTCGTTTTCGGTCATATTTGGTGAGTAAAATTCTATAAAACATTGATTTTAAAACATTATTGTTTAGCTACTCGTTATATTGTATCACAGATTTTACTAACGTTTTATATTTGAGCTTTGATGTAAGTTTTTCAGTTGGCCGTTGATTTGTTTAATTTTAAAGTTTTGTAACTTATTTTGTTACCATTATTTTTCTTCGTTTTTAGTTTGAAGCTCAAACAAAGGCTTCATGATTAAAACCAAACATTCTCCATTAAAAGTAAGTCAGAGTATTCTTAACAATATATTCTAAATAAATTTCTTGTTTGAAAATGGCTTCACCACCTAATAAACTGAAGATTGAGGCGAATGGATCTCGTTTAAGTAAACTTTTGATAAATAAAGGAACCCAAGCTTTGAAAGCAACATTGCAATTTAGTTTTAACTTTCGATCATCAAGTTTGATCAATGAACTTAAAGATCTTTTAACAATGAACAAATTGACTTTGCTTAAAAAGAGAAGGGTCATCAGTAAAGAGCAATGGGAGCTTCTTTACCCGTCAAATGGCTCATCACCTGACATTGACAACTTTGACATCTCAATATTGACTGTCTTATTGAGAAATATTTGTGGTCTAACAGCGCCTTCTGGAGGATGGGATAGTCTTCCTTCCTCTTCAGATACTTCAATCTCAGCAAATATTGCAAGAATAAAGTTTTATCGAAACAAAGTGTACGGTCACATAGCTAAAACTAGTGTAGATGATAGGGAGTTTGAGTACTTGTGGCAGGAAATTTCAAAAGCATTGGTTGGTCTGGGTATTCAACAAACTGAAATAGATGAAGTAAAGAAAGCTCCCCTCAGTCCTGATGAGGCAAACCATATTGAAATATTGAAAAACTGGTATGAAAAAGATCAACAATTAATCAATGTTGCTGAGAAAACCAACGAAAATGTAAAAGAATTAAAAAAAGAGTTTGAAGCTATGAAAAATAAAGTAGAAGAAATTAAAGAAAGTATGCCAACAAAAGTTGATGTAGTTGAAATTAAACAAGACATGGCGACAAAAGCTGATGTAACCAGAGTGAAAGAAATGATACAGGACAAAACATGCTCAGATCTCAAGAAGCTTGGAAAGTGTAAGTTTAATGGTATTATAAAAGATCTTAACAAGAAATACCTTGAAGGCACTAGACAATGGTTATTTGAAAAACTCGACACTTGGTTTAACGATAAAAGTGAAGATGCTTCTAATGTCATGATTTTGATTGCCGGTCCAGGTGTTGGTAAAAGTGTGTTTGCTGCTGAGGTGTGTCGACGATATTCTGAAAAGAAGAAACTTGTTGCTTCTCATTTCTGCAGATATAATAGATCAGATTATAGAAATCCTCGAATATTGATAGAATCATTGGCCAGTAGCATGTGTGATACAATATCAAATTTTAAAAGTAAACTGAATGAAGAATTACAGAGAAACCATTCCAAAGAATCGATCACCGATAAATTCCTTGTTTTATTAAATAATCCATTGCATTCATTGGAAGATCATGAACCAATGCTTTTGGTTATTGATGCCTTAGATGAAAGCCAAGTTGATGGCAAAAGTGAATTGTTGGAATTGATTGCAGAAGAGTTTGACCGACTGCCTCAATGGATTAAAATCTTCATCACCAGTCGTCCAGAACTTCCTGTTCAAAAGGAATTGAAAGACATGCATCCTGTGGAAATTACAACTCATCCTCGTGATGAAAACAACGAAGAAGACCTGCACAAGTATTTGAGACATGAGTTGAATGATCGGGTGCAGGAAGATCCCCACGTTCTATCGTCATTAGTTGAAAAATGTGAGGGATCATTTCTTTATGCGTATTACGCACAACAGAGCTTGAATAAAGAAAATATTGAGCTTACTTACGAAAACATTCGACAATTGGTCCCTAGTGGGTTAAGCGGTGTTTACACAAAGCAATTGAAAAGAGTAAAAGAAATGTTAACGAAGAAAAGTCGCAGAAATTCTGTTATCTCAGAAACTACTTTCATGCAATTTCTTGAATTGTTGGCTGCCTCTCGGGAGTTTTTACCATTAACTTTACTGTTTAGCTATTTAGGTTTTTCTGGTGACATCAAGTTTGAAGTCCGCAGTAAAATCATTGAACTGTTATCTCAAATTTTGCCTGTTTACGATGATTGTTTAACCGTGTATCACAAATCTCTAATTGATTGGTTAAAATCAGATGGTTACGAACAGCATGTGTTTACAGTTGATCCAAAAAATGGTCATAAGTTCTTATGGCATGCTTGTGAGAAAGTGTTTGAACAAATTAAGTCGATGAACATTTTTGAAGATCAGATGAACACTGCTATGATTAAATATGCTATGAAGAATGGAATCTATTATTTGTCAAAATGTGGCGAAAATGTTGACTTTAGCTGGGCAGTAGATATCAAAGTGCTTTGTGCAAGGTTATTGTATGTAGTAGACATTAAAGTGAATACCAATAACTTTGAATTGTCTGAAATCATTACGGAACTACGAACTTTCTTGAGAAAAGATGTACTTGATGAAGAACTATTTCATTTGTTAGTTATAATGAGGTATCAGTTAATGAGGTATAAGAATGGTGATAGCTTAAATTTTTTGCAAAGTTTTGCAAACAGAATTCATGGCAGTAACGAAAAAAGATTATTGGCAAGAGATTTATTGAAACAAGGAAAGCTTGTTTGGTTTGAGGATTTAGACTCGACATATTTAACAAACCATCATCATTTGACTGTCTCCTTGCGTGCTAACGTTACATCTCTTTGTGTGTCGTCCAATGAAGAACTTCTTGCTGTAGGATATGAAAATGGTCAAATATCTATTTTTGAGCTTCCTGAATTTACAGAAAGATGCATTCTTGGCACTGTACTTGATGATTCTAGGCTGAAAGAATGGGACAGGGATAACAAATTTGAATCCTTGTATTACTTATATGACTATTCAGACAACATACCGTATATTTTCGACAAACTTGGTTTTAAACGCGGAAATATCTGTTGTTGCTCCTTTTCACCTACCGGAAATAGACTGGTAACTAGTGATGGATCTACTGAAGTAAAGTTGTGGGACGTTAACAATGTTCGTTTGTTATTATGTTTACAGTCAGATGATGTCGTTAATCGTTGCTCTTTCTTAGATTCTGGTTTGTTTATTACAGCAGACTATGTAAAACATGACAATGAACATCCTAAAGATGTGTTCACTGTATGGAATGCAATAACTTTGCAAAGAATCGATCGACGCTACGTTGTTGATTACCAAAAACTACAATGCACCGATAAATATTCAGAGCTCCTTGCTGCAGAATCCGTCGAGGCTTCGTATGTTTTTCAATTCCCAAAGGCAATCGAGTTTTTTCCCCAACCTTTACATTTAATGATAAATGTAAAGGTTGGGGAAACATTACACCATTATCGTGATTGTATTTGTTATCATACAAGCCAGAATGGAAAGCTTTCTGACATCACTCAGTTGACAAAATACAACGATCAAGGAGAAATCGAGTTTTATTTACCATATGTTAAGTGTCCATGTGTTGATAGGACTCTTAACAAAGTCCATCCCATCTCGTTTAAGGAATTTTACGTTGCGCCCTTTCTTTCCAAGCTTAAAATTTTTAAAACTGATCATCTTTGGAGACCTTCATTTATCTTTGAGAAATTTAAAATTAAATGTTGTTGTTTTTCACCCGATGGATCTTTTTTGGCTGCTTTTGCTGTTGGTGACCACGTCAACATTCATATTTGGAGCATTGAACGCTGCACTATTATTCAAACTGTACCAATGCAACTGAAGGATGCATTAGGATGTTGGTGGTCAGATGGTTTATTGTGGATAGGGGATGGTTCTGATCATCTTATGAAGGTATCCACTTCGTCTGAAAATTTTGTAGATTCTACTCAAGCAAAGTATGTTAACATTGGATTTAAACCTAAGAAAATCTTAACATTTGCTGATGTCTTAGTTTGTATTGACGAACTAGATTTTGTTCAAGTTGTTAGAATTACGAAGGGTAAGATACAATACAACAAAAGACTTCCTGTCGATAGTTTTGAATTTAAAGCAGCAGCTGTATCACCTGATAATTCTGTTATTTTAACTGTAAACAAAACAGAATACACATTATGGAAATGGGAAATAACAACAATGAACTTTACCTGGAACCTTGGCATACTGCAGAAATACCCATAACAGCTGTCATTGAAAATTTTGGAAACAGATAACTGTAAATGATCTAAAGTTCAACTGTTATATAAGTGATAGTAAACAAGCAGTCATAACATTTTGCAAAGGCACCACAATTATGAGCATTTATGTAATTAATGTTCACGAGAATGGTGATGTGAATGCTTTTTGCATGATGTCAGTGGTGATTTTTGGAATCCGACCTAGTCGTACACAAATCTTATGGCATTGGAGTGTATGCTTTGTCATTGGTTGCTGTAGATTTAAAGAGTGGTAAAACGCGCTGAATTTAAAGATGAATTATGTTTTATGCCTAATATAATTATGCATTCCAATACAGGAAGTTTAGCTTTAGTTGACAGTTTATATTGCGGAATTCAATTTTTAAAACTTAATGTTCCTGAATAAATACATCAAGTCAAACTTTAATAGTAAATTCAAAAAGCTGTTGAGAAAATTGCACATAGATGTTGATGGTTGTAAGAATGATTGCTTGTTTCCACTTAATATAGTTTTCTACAGAAGAAGTATACTTATTCTATCAGGCAATCTTTAAGAAATCATCTATATTTACCAAAAATAAATTTGGACCAATTTTGCAAAAGATCTTTTATGTTTATCTGTACTATTTATTGCAATATCTTACTTCCTGCTATTAAAGAATGTAAAATATGATCTATGTTTTGCAATAATCTAAAATGATGTATAATTGCTTTTTATAACACAAATGACTTGTATTTAAAAAGAGCGCTTCTATAATAATTGATCATGAATATTTGTTCATTCTTTTCTAAGATTCTACTTGTAATCTCCATAAATGAATTGTCATTTAAACAGGGCATCCTCTAGATTAGACTACTGCTGTAAGATGATCTGTCAAACTTATTATGTATTGTACCTCTGAACAAATTTCATGTTGATGATTTACTTTTTAATAAAAATGTATGGTTAGATAATTTGGTTATTTTTATTTAACAAATAGATAACATTTAAAAGTTGTCTATACAGTTATAGATACACGGGTATGACGTCATTGTGATAAAAACTGAGTGGCCACGAGCCGCCGGGCAAATCAATGTTTGAAAACCGAGTTTTTTCTTTTCTTTTTCCTCAAATGCGTCCAATGCTTCAACTGGGCATTCTTAAATTCTTTATTTGCTCATTCAGGGATATATTCAGATAAATATTCAAATAAATTCTCCGTTCGTTTGTCATTTAAAAACAAGGAATTTTCTGTGACCTCAATTCCGTGCGTCTGTCGTCTTATAGATCATAGCTCTCGACTAATGAAATTGCTTAAATTCTTTCGGCTATTATATAGTATTATAAATAAGACGTTCACTACATAGAAATGAAAGAATGTCGACAACTCACTCATTGTGAGTCATTTGATAATATGGTGTTGTTGTAGATGAAGATAATTTTGATGAAATTATAGAGTGACTTTCTTTAGACATGCTTTCAAGAACTGTAAATACAATTTAATATCGTGGAAATCGGTTTTGTATGATGTTAAAAATTCACATGTATAAAAACACCATTTGGGTTTTATGGTCATTAGTTTAAAAATTTGAAAGATCATTTCTGTACGTTCATTATGTACATATGACCTTAAAGAAACAAAATGTTATATACTGTCAACAATTCCCGTATGTAAAAACATCATGATGGTGTAGTATAGTTATTATATAAATTATTAGTATTTCGTACGTCATATTACGTATATTATAATTAAGTAAAGAACTGTATAAAAGTAATATGACAAAGCAATAAAAGAAAGAAATCTCACAATATTACATCTGGCGACAAAGATTATTAAGGGACGAAGAAATATGATTTGATCCTGAGAAAAATACTACATTTCGAACATGACAGCTTTGCCTAGTTTCCCGACGTTCAACCTAGAAGAACCAGACATTAGAAAAGCTTGGGGAAAAATACGTATCAAGATTGGAGAATTTGTTGTTGGCAATGAACATCACAAACGCCGCAAGAAAGAAGGCGATGCTCCTGCACTATGTCGGTGAAGAAGTTAATGAGATATTTGAAACTTTAGAAATTGACGAGCCAGATAGAGAAGAAGATGTATTTAAAAAAGCGGAGAAAGCGTTACGAAATTACTTCACTCCACAGAAGAATATAGAATTCGAAGTTTATAAGTTTCGTCAAGCGAAACAACTCCCAGGAGAAAACATATCCGCGTACAATACGAGATTGAAACAATTGGCCAAATCCTGCGAATTTCATGAAGAAAGCAGAGATAAAACCAGATCATACAAAATGGTTCATTTTCAAATTTGCGGAGAAAAGCGTTAGCAGACCCCGAAATAACGATGGAGAAATTAATACAAATGGGAAAAACAATGGAGATGTCAAAAACACAAGCAAAAGGCATCGAAAGCACGAATCGAATTTGGCATAAAAGAAAGCAGTTCAAGACGCCCACGGAAAAAACCTCAAATGCTTCCAAATATTCATCGAAGATCAAATGCAAATTTTGTGCTTGTGAACATCGACCAGGGAAAACAAATTGCCCGGCATATGGAAAGAAATATCGACAGTGTTTAAAGTGGAACCATTTTCAAGTTTGTTGCTATGAGAATCGAAGAGGCAAAGAGCTGTTGCAAGACAATTATCAAAATTCTCGCTGAATCAACAAAGCGAAACGGACAGATAAAACGTAATCAAGTAAGACCTCGTCAAGTGAATACGGTGCAAGAAATAACGTCCGAATCAAGTATGGAAGATGAATATGTATTTTCAACGTTGACGGCGCAACAAAAGCTGCCGAAGTTTAAAGTTAAGATAAATGGTACTCCTGTGTCAGTCATGGCAGATACCGGTTCCAGCGTAAATCTCTTGGATGAAGTGAATTTTAACAAATTGAAGAAAAAGCCAATATTGCAGGAAGCAAATGAGAAAATCTTTCCGTATGGGTCGAAAAAACAACTATCAATTAAAGGAAAATGTCAGTGTGTGGTCGAAACCGATAAACTATATGGATTAGAGACATTTTTTGTTGTTAATGGGAATACGGGTTGCTTGATAAGCTGGAAAAGTTCTCAAAAATTGGGCCTGGTACAAATAGTTGCATCCATAGAAGGCACTACAAAGTCTAAACAGGAACCCGTTAAAGAAAAGGCAAGAAAAAGTGAGAGAAGATACCAAAGTGGAAGAGCTAATTAACAAATATCAAGAAGTCTTTCAAGGACTGGGAAAATTGAAAGGGTTTCAAGTTCATCTACACGTAGATAAGGACGTACAACCTGTCGCACAACCTCATCGTCGGGTGCCGTTTCATGTGAGAAAAGACTTGGAGAAACAGTTAAAACGAGACGAAGAACGTGGAGTCATAGAAAACAGATGGACCAACACCTTGGGTTTCACCAGTCGTGGTCGTACCAAAACTAAAAATTTTGTGCTCGTGAACATCGACCAGGGAAAACAAAAGGGGAGGTCCGAGTTTGTATAGATATGCCACAAGTAAACAAAGCAATAAAGAGAGAACGACACTTGACTCCGAAAATTGGTGAAATTATAAGTGATCTAAATGGTGCTGTATAGTTTAGCAAATTGGACTTAAATCAAGGCTATAACCAGTTAGAGCTCGATGCAGAATCAAAATATTTGACAACGTTCTCAACACACATTGGTCTACGGAGATTTCGACGTTTGAATTTTGGAATAAACTGTCTTGCAGAGGTATTCCAAAATGCCATTAGAGAAACGTTGAGTGGACTGAGAGGAGTGATTAATATCAGTGATGACATTATGGTGTTTGGCGTAGACAAGAAAGATCACGATGCAAATTTGAACGCGGTATTACAACGAATTAAAGATCGAGGACTAACTCTTAAGAAGGAGAAATGTCTGTTTAAGAAAAGAAGTTTAATATTCCAAGGGTATGTGTTCTCAGAGAATGGTATTGGGCCGGATCCCAATAAAGTGAGAGCTATTAAGGAATGCACAAATCCTAAAGATGTAGGAGAAGTACGAAGTTTGTTAATCATGACCAATTTTTGCTGTCGATTTATTCCACATTATGCCACAATTACGGAGCCGTTACGTCGACTTATCAAGAAAGATGCCCCATTCGTGTGGACAAGAGAACAAGAACACACAATGAAAGCCCTACGGAAAGCATTAACAGATGGGCCAGAAAGTGCATACTTCGATGCGAATAGTGATACGGAGGTTTTCACAGATGCTAGTCCATATGGTAATGCAGCAGTCTTGGTGCAGAGGAAAAGGAAGAAGAAAAAAGGAAAATAATTGCTTACGCTAGTAAATCACTAACTACCACAGAGAAAAATTATTCTCACTTGGAAAGAGAAGCTTTAGCTATAGTATGGGCCTGCGAACATTTTCATTTATATTTGTTTGGAGGAAAATTCACCATCGTCACTGATCACAAGCCGCTGGTGAAAATATACACAAATCCATCATCAAAGCCATCTGCGAGAATAGAACGGTGGGCTTTGCGATTGCAACCATATGATTTTGCAATCTGTTTTCAACCTGGAACTGAAAATCCTGCAGATTTTCTCTCACGTCATCCCTTCTTTGATGAGAAACTAAACAACCGGCAAGAGAAAGTAGCAGAAGAATTTGTTAATTACGGTATACAGAACTCGGTTCCAAGAACAATCAGCAGGAAAGATCTGGAAGAAGCTACAAGAGAAGACATTACTCTTCGAGCAGTAATTCAAGCCATTGAAACAGGTAGATGGTTTGAGAGTTCAAAGATGGTAGGAGTAAATCAAGCAGAATTTAGTTCATATGAGAAACTTAAAGATGAACTTTGCATAACTTCGGGAATAATTTTACGAAAACATCAAATAATCATACCAGAAAGTTTACGAGAGAAAGTAGTGAACATTGCTCATGAAGGTCATATGGGAATGTGAAAAACGAAAGCGTTATTACGTGAAAAGGTATGGTTTCCACGTATAGATGAGTTAGTTAATGAAAAAGTTAAATCGTGCTTAGCCTGTCAGATTACAACTCCAGTCAGTGAAATGGAACTATTGAAAATGTCGGAGTGGCCAAGATCACCATTGAAAGAACTAAGTATGGACTTTGGTGTAGATCCTACAGGCACAGGTGAATATTTGTTTGTTTTGTATGATGATTTTTCCAGATATCCCATTGTAGAAGTAATCCAATCAACGTCCGCAAAGACTGTTATACCCTGTTTGGATAAGATTCTTTCGTAGTTCGGGATACTAGATACGATACGTTCAGACAATGAACCGCCATTCAATAGCAAGGAATTTTACGAATTTTCAAAGTATTTGGGATTTAAACACAGAAAAGTTACTCCTTATTGGCCACGAGCCAACGGGGAAGTGGAAAGATTTATGCGTACTATCAAAACGCCATAATGAAGGCTGCGATAATGGAAGGAAAAATTTGGAAGCAAGAAATCCACAGTTTCCTGCGAAATTATCGTACCACACCAAATAGTTCGACCAAAATCTCTCCATCTATGGCTTTATTTGGTCGACCAATGAAAGTACGTTTACCTGAAGAACCATCTCATGTAGATACAGGGGAAAGAATTCGAGTACAGGATGAAAGAGCAAAATTGAAGATGAAATTACATGCAGACAATAACAGGAACGTAAAGACAAGTGATATTAAAGTAGGTGATATGGTGTTAGTAAAGAAAGATACGACCACTAATAAACAACAAACACCCTATGATGGTAAGCCATGTGAAGTCGTGGAAAGGAAAGGTTCAATGGTAACAGCGAAGAAAGATAGAATGTTGTTTACTCGTAATTCGTCATTTTTCAAGAAGATAGAAAATGGAAAAAGTCTAGGAGAACCCATTGAGAAAGTATAAAGGAAAAAGAACGGCGGTATCCTTTGCGTACAAGAAAAGCCCCTATTCGATACGGACAAGTTGAAAGTTAATTTAGAGATAGCTATAAAAGAAACAATTAATATTTTCATAAACGAACTCATAGATACAAAATACAAAAAAAATATTTAATTAGTTTGGGGAGAGGTGTAGTATAGTTATTATGTAAATTATTAGTATTTCGTACGTCATAGTACGTATATTATAATTAAGTAAAGATCTGTATAAAAGTAATATGACTAGGCATTAAAAGAAAGAAATCTCACAATATTACAGATGTTATGTCAATAACTTTTACGATTTTGACATAAGTTGTTTTGAATTGAGGAATTATATTATTTTGAATAATATTTTCTTGTATGTTTGTAAATGTCGATCGTCCAGGCTGGTATAAACCTGAGAAGGACTGTTTTTGTTGTTGTTGACTGACGTTTCGACAACCTTAGCGGTAGTCATCGTCACAGTCAAATGACTCAATTTAAAATATTGAAGATTATTAATTCTCACTTTCTGTCTTCAATGGTTAAAATAAAATTTATTATCATGATGTTGGGGTTGATGCAAAGTTAAATGTACAGTTTCAACTTGTGACAATTGTAAACATAACAATAAACATTTTACTTATTATAAATATTAAAGTTCAGCAAAGTGCTTTTAAAGAGCCATTCAATACAAAAGTGACGTATAAAAAGAATATTTATTTAGTAGCGTAACGTTTCGTCTTAGTTCTCAAGACATCATCAGACAGTATTGAATTACAAATATAAAGGTATTTATATATATAATAGCTATTTACATAATATTAAATTATATGGTGGGATGAAAAAGATGAAAATAAAATTGGGATAAGATGGTATAAAATGGGATAAGTGGAAGTCACAAAAGAAACAAAAACACAAACTATCACAAAATATACAGACATGGAGTTTTCTTGTGAATTCAACTTATCCTTGGGCTTTATAAATGCATTAGGATGTTGGTGGTCAGATGGTTTACTGTGGATATGGGATGGTTCTGATCATCTTATGAAAATAACCACTTCGTTTGAAAATTTTGTAGATTCTACTCAAGCAAAGCAATTAAACATTGGATTTAAACTTAAGGAAACCTTAACATTTGGTGATGTCTTAGTTTGTATTGACGAAGAAAAGTTTGTTCAAGTTGTTAGAATTACCAACGGTGAGATACAATACAACAAAAGACTTCCTGTCGATAGTTCAAAATTTAAAGCAGCAGCTGTATCCCCTGATGATTGTGTTATTTTAACAGTAAACAAAACAGAATACACATTATGGAAATGGGGAAATAACAACAATCAACTTTACTTGAAACCTTGGCATACTGCAAAATTACCCAAAACGTTTTTTATTGAAAATTTTTTTTTGCAACAGAGAACTAAAACTTACCTAAAAGTCCGTTGCTCTATAAATGATAGTAACCAAGCGGTCAT